TTGACAGGTGGGCTGAACAATTTGAAGAGCAGTTCAGCTGGCCTCAACCAGATCATGTGGACGACGGGACCCGATGGAGGCTGACTTAAAAGCCTAGTTAAATAAGATACCTGAGATCAATTGAAAATGATGCTCAATTCCTACTAACCAAAAGCTCCAACCATATACTAGATATAACATTGGACAAGAAGATAGCTTTTAAGGTGTTGGGTCCACACATTTATTCGGAAGCGCAGGGAGACTGTCTTGACAAAAGGTGCAATAAAATTAAGTATATATACTTGAAGGAGTACATGTATAGAATAGTTTGTATACCTTAGAGGAGTTAAGCAAACAGTATACATATTTTTCTAGGTTCGTAATCTACTCATGATCGATATAACACACTACATAGAACTAGCGGTCATGTGTCTGATTTCGAAACTGAGAAAGCATAACGTATAATTTTATTTCGAGTGCATATGCCAAGGTTCAAAATGTTACTTGCTTTGGAATTCCAATACAACTTTTATCAATAATAAGTAACGTGACGGAGTGAACAGTTCAGATAAGACCCAGATGCGGTAAATTTGAACTTCTGCTGGATCCTGATCAGTGACAGAATAACATGTTCAAATGTGGTAAACGCACAGCCAACCGTGCCACCAAGTTACACTACAGGTTCTTATTTTTCACAAATATGTCTCGTCTAGAATATCGTAGCCTTTGCACCATGCACTTAATAAAAGTGAACTGCCCCACAGTTGTGTGAGTGGATTCCAGCGTGGATTGTTTGAGAAATTCTGCATTGGCAATCAATCTCCTGAAGCGTTCGGTAGATTTTTATGACAAGGAGCGCTGGGTTGGTCGTTGACCTAAAATCTGTCACCTTAGACCGCCCGGTTTGGCTTTGTAGTTCAGCCGGTAGAACGCTTGGTGTAAGTGACCACGCTGTTTTTGTTGCTGGTTCGAATCCAGCCGAGGCTCAGTTATTACCAGCTGGTTTTCCCCTGAAAGCACTTTTATCAACAGATGGACATTCATTCACCACCGCCATCGCCACCAATAGCCATGCATTTTTAGTCATTAATTATACTTAAATGCCCTACAATCATGAGAAAATGCTCTGACTTACAGAAAGTTTGAAGCGAAATGCAAAGTATGTCATAGAACCTCTTTGCTATGTCTCAGAGATAAGACATCACAGTGGTCGTATGTTTCATAAAAACAGTCGACTTATCAATGGAGTGACTTCTAAGCAGCATTCTCCTCACAGAATGAGTAAATATAACTGTAGGAGGAAACTGTAGGGAACAATTATTTTCGAAACATTACCATCAGAACGATAAAAATATACGGGTACAGCGAAGTCAAAACTGTATGTAAAGAACGTATATAGGTTTAGTAGAATGTCACTGAGTAAGGTGAAACGTCGCAGGACTTTCAAGTCTATTCATGCTTGAAAATGACACTCTGCTAAATCTTTGTTTTGATTCCACTGTACCCACATAAAGATAATCACTTCAGCGACGACTAAAACACAGAGCGTCAAAATATACACCACTTTTCCCAACTGATTGCCACTGACGCTTAATGCAGTCCCGTGTTGTCTCACAAAACAAATACACAAGATTTGCTGATCTATAACTCACTTTTCAATGAAGCCGAAGTATCCTAATTCAGACTGACTGGTTTGGATTTTCGTTTACTGCACAAATGTGCTGCCACTCATTGTGTGATAGCCACGGTATTTTGGCTGATTCGACCGTGAGAAGGAGACTCAGTATTTTTTGAACCTGCACCAACATCGCGAGACCATTTCTAAGTGTTTAAATACCTAGTACACGCCACGTAACAAAAAAGTGTTTTATGCAATAATGCAACCAACTCAGATTGACGCTGCACAAGTGCCACTTATTTCTCAGTTGACATCGACTGTTGATTGGCCGTGGGTACACATATAAGGCACGTCCCCATTGAGTTCGTTTATCACACGGCGAATGGAAAAGCAAACTGCACGACAACGCTAAAAAATAACCACGTATACGTCAGGAGCACTAAAATTTCATCTAGGTTTCGTGTGATTCTTAGTATTCAGTATGGTTAACCAGACGCTATCAGAAGAGAATATCACTTATATAGTGTGGACTAAGCCAAGCATACGTTGCATGGAATCCACCATTACGCTGAGTTTTGAAGAATCTCCTAATCAACACACATGTGCTCAAGCGCAAACGTAACTTACATGACTGGTTCGCACGGTCCGCGGCACGAACACTGATTGTTGCGGGGTTGGTGAACCGAGGGGACCGGTGAAAACTGACTTTTCAAGCTGACCGAAACTGAAGACTGGCTCCAACCTGAGACGCTGACCGGGTTGACGGGCATCACAGATTGGAGCGTATCCAGGGGGTGGTCCGTGCCTGAGACGTCCTTGGTTAGATCCGAGAAGAAACCGGGCATTAGTTTTTGCATTCATGCTTATGCATGGATAGAATAGTCCGGTTGTGTTGAAGTCCTGTGAAATGGAAAACCAAAACGTTCGATGAACTTGTCCCAGGTTACAAGACACTGAGAACCATGAGAAGTAAATTTTCCTTTTGTGAAGAGAATAATTAGGTAACTCCTAAAAAGCGAAATTAAGGGTAGAAAATGTACATAACGTGAGTATTGATTCCGAAAAATTATCTATTGGCCGATGAGCAGTTAAAAGACCCTCTCAACTCGTGTCAAGCTAAGCTCTTGAAAACTTGGTGAGGCAAGACTTCACGTATTCCTGAACATATTATGGGTCGTATATACATTTATATGTTTAGCTTCAACTGGGTCTTACACTGATGATGTCGGCTGTAATATTATTTGGGAGTAGTGTGAACTAAACAAAAGAAAATATGAAAAGCCGAAACTGATAGTGTTGATTGTTTTGGACGATCTCCACTTCCAACTACGACGAACAATATGTTCAGCGATGCGTAAAGTCATGCCTCACAAAGTCAGCTTTCAAACATATGTTTAAGAGCTGACTTCTGTCTTCATGTTTTGGCACCAACAAAATGGACAATCTTAAAAGAAACGAAGTACTTGGAAATAACCCCTGACAAGACGACCATTAACGTTGAACTGTATAACGGGACCGGCCAAATCCAGCAAACAGCCGATGACGTCTCCGATTTTGAGTCCACCAGCTGCTTCGTCCGAAGCAGCTTCTTCCGTACCGATACTCGCCTGCTTTCGTTTTCCTCCGGCCCACAAGAATTTGCCATCGAATGCATAACTGTACAAGTCGTCACCAAGGCTCGTAGCTCCCCAGCCTGCGCCTCCACCAGGTTGCGCGTCGTAACCTTCTGTATTGGCCCAACCAACACGTATTTGTGCTGGTTGATGTGTGACAGTTTCCAGTGTGTCAATGAGGACCTCAAAGTACCATTTAGGATACATCGAACCACCCTAAATTAAAAAGAGGGGGATTTATTAAAAGGCAGGCTGTTGCAATGGTTTATCTCATTTCACTACAGACATACGATAACATGTTACCACGTATGCTGAAAACAGATCGAATTCTATGAAACCCTAGATGAGCTACTTACTACAGATAAGAAGTTTAATTCACTAACAGACTGTGTAACAGAGTTAGTAATTTACAGAGTTAAATGATAAGTTTAATAAACACAAATGTGAATTATGCTCAGTATGTCTCACGTTAAATTCAAGCATACAGAGTTGACTGAAACATATGTGGTACTGGAGAACAAAGATTTTCTATAGCATTGCGCAAACTGACTAACAGAAAGAAACGAAAACCTCACAAGACTGAAGGATGTGTCCAATTATGAGTCTCTATTTGGTGGTACCAGATCATGGCAACCTTCAATCGACTGAAACTAGAAAACACTGGGAACCGTTCACCTGTCGCCTAGCCGTCAGGTTTGACAACTTAGATATATCTATCATGAAACAAATTGTGTAAGGTAAACGTGATTCGCCCACAAAGGGCCTCTGGACTAAGAACTGCGCTACCAGACAGCACACATGAGACCTAAACCTGCAGTGCATAATCGTGATTATGCAAAAAAGACCAGAATATTATATTATCACTAACTCGCCCATCCAATGTTTGCAAGGTGATCGCGGTGGACAATTTTTTCGATAATTCCTCACCAGATTAATACAACCGCATAGATTCAACGAAGTTAAAACGGTATATGAACGTCATGAAAAGATTTATACAAACCTGCCAAAGGTCACACTACCATCCTGCATTCCCACGCAGAGCCCGATCTATAACTCCGTGACGCACTGATGTGTGGAACTCACTAGCATCGGTAACTCGCCGTTTGAGTGAATGAGCTACAGACGTTTGGAGTTTTGTAACGCTTCGCGTAACCCAACGACATTCGACTAAACATTCCCCTGTTGTTTACATGCTGTTTTAGCTTCGGTGAACCCACATAGTTGTTCCATTGCTCTGGTGATGAAGTGTTGGAAAAAATCGTTAACCACTGTCTCAAATTATTTAATGGGAATTTTTGCGTAATCTATGAAAGGATTTTAAAAATCCATAAACACAGAGATAGATAGAAAATAACATACCTCTTTGATCCCCACAAATATATTAGGTCTCATTGAACCACACTGATCCACCAACTTTGTCTGTAAAAGCAAGTCGCGTTGAGGCAACAGGGTGTTGTAGATAAGATCTTGGTTTAGGCGCACCGCTCCGCCTTGGCGACCCATGCACAGAGAACAAAGTGCTTGCAATACCTGCGGCAAGAGACCAAATGCGACGGGATAGTTAAAAGCTGTCAGAACACAGTGTCAAACGGTTAAAGTGAGAGCATGCAACTTTTTTGGGACATTGTTGCATACCATTAAGTAGTGTTAACTGAACATCTGTTAAGTTGTTTTGGTTAACAGCAATTTCTGGTAGGTGAGCATGTTTACCATTAGATTGCGGCCAGTATGGTAAGTAACCTTGTGTTTTATGCACTGTACGTATAAGCTATGAATTTCTTTAGATGCGAACGAAACAAGGAGATTACTAATAGACATGTAATTCTTGATAATCTCGTGAACAAAAAAGCACGAATAACATTAGTGATACAGTATCGGGAACATCGTAGGGGACGGTTAGGCGAGTAGAAAAGCAAACGTTAGATGAAATTATCATTGGGCTGTTCAAAAACCTAATCATATAGCACTCTTGAAAAACGATTTATGATTTTGACATTTCGGTTACCATGGGCAATTTTTATCAAGACAAGATACACAAGTACTTTACTCCTTCCCTCAAAATTAATGGACTAGCTTTGTTTTGGATGTCAGCTGATCTATGACGACAGAGTAGCTGTGAGTTGTGTATAGTATACATTCGTGACGGGGTAATTTTGGCTCCGAAGATTACGCACTACTACGTCTTTGGGTTTGTCCTTCAAAACTAACTATGACTGTGTGGTGCACTGTTGTAGAATGGTTACGTTTGCTTCCTCTTCTTCCACAGATGAAAGTTACGTCATGTGCCGATTATGTCAATACCGCTTTCTGATTTACGAGAGCTTTAATCCCCTCTTATCTGGATACCCAAGCTGTTTTCTGACAGCATCATTACATCTACTCACCGTGATCTGCAGTGATAGTATCTCAGGTCGTTGCATTCACGTAGTACTCACATACAGTCTTTCATTGTAAGGTTGGTGGCCAGTGGTTCACTCAGTGAATATTGGAAATATGGACAGGTCACCAATTTCTAGATAGTTATGGATAGATGGCAGTTCCGAGTCAAAAAAATCACGCCACTTATGGCTTACAATCGAAACTGTTAGTTGAGGAAATGGCTGAACTTTGCCCTTGACTTCAATCACAGAGCAGCAACCATTAGAAGCAAATTTCTGCCAAGTTGGAAGTTACGTTATATATGGTTAATTTTAATGCAGATTTTGGGATAATGGAAATGAAGGCTTACCCTCGGATCTCTTCCCTGCTTATCCAAC